TTCAAACTTTATCGAATAGTGGCGGATAACGAGTTTTCGGGTCTAATAAAAATAATAATTTGCTAAAAATAAGTCTAAGTCAACATCGTTTTACTTTAACATGAAATACTAAGTTATAGTTTACTAAAATCCAAAAAATGTATATTCATTAAAAAGAGCACACCTAAAAAAATAAGACCAAAATGATATTTTAGCAATTGTTGCATAAGTAACATAATACCGACAAATTAAACATTGAGATTCAGTTTCAAATATACAAGTTTAAATATTATTGCGCTCAGTAATTTTCCAAATCAAACCCTGTCCAGCCATACACTTTGATTTAAATTTTTTAGTTGTTATTGTTTCGTCTTTATTAGGCATTTCTAAAAACATTCTTGACGTTGTTTTGAAATTTGGCGACATAAAATAATGCAATTAATCTTTTCTAGAATATGGAAATGATATACTGTGCGACGTAGGGAAAAATATTGGCTACAATATGTAATTTTTTATTGCCATATATACGTTTTATCGGTCCACTTCCAAAATATTCGCATTCGCAAAAGCTCCGCATTGATTATTGCGAATGCGAAAGCGAATGCGAATGTTAAAATTAATGCGGAAGCTCCGCGGTTGCGAATGCGAATGCGAATATTCGCAACAACCCTGATACATATGTATGTACATATTTATGCAAGTATGGGAAATATGTCTTTCCGCATGAGTTTACGCAAAATTAAATCAGTTTTTGGGGGGTTATTTTTTTACTTTAAAATAAATTAAGTATTTAATTTTCATATATTTAAGAAACAGCTTGATGCCAGTTGGTTTAAATGCCGAACCGGAGGCATTATGTTATTGATACAAATATCGCTAAAGATAAATATATTAAAATTTGACAGCCATTGTAGAAATACATCTATATTTGTAAATTTATCGATTAAAACTGTGCAAATGAGAAGAAGATGGTGTCGAGTTATCGATGGCAATAGCATTATCGATGCAATATCAATAAAATCTTTAAGTTATCGTTACTAAACTCATCAGAATTGAATTATGTGTTCCGTGATCGAATCGGAAATCGTATGAAAATATTTAACGGTACTGATCGTATGCATGGCAATATTGGAATTATATATTGGAACGTATGTCACGTTCTCTGGCGTATCGTAACTTTTTGCAGATTGTAATAAATTCCCGGCGAATTGTTATAGAAATTTTGACAATTTGTCCACCTCTTTTTACTGATTATAATGGTGTAAACCATTTGTGGTTAAAATCAATAGGGGTGGAGCTGGAGGGGGTAAAGGTGGGATTTTCAATATTTTTGAAAGATTGTATGTATATCGAAAACTGTTGGACCGATTTTCAAAGTGTGGATTGGGTTTGAAAGATAATTTAAGGGCGTTTTATTTTGTATACCTATTTATACATATATTATATACATATTTTGAAAAAAATAACCAAATTATAATCATTTTTTAATAAAAATGTACGTTTTATATATAAAAAATACGTAATTAACTATATACAAGAATACCATTTTTAAAAAGTACATAAAAATACCTTTAATTTGTTTTATGCTATGTTGCAAAAATTCTTTTACGTAGCGGACCTTCGGCCGCGCTTAGAGATTATAACCAATGTTGCCGGTTTAGTCCATTGGAGGCTGCTTTTTTTGGCCACATAAATTTGGAGAATTTATTCATACTTAGGGTGAAATAGTTTTATGTGCTTAATTTGATATCTTCTTTCATTTATGTAAGAGATGAATTTTTTTTAAATACTTTGGCTACCACTAAAAATTATTCGCGGCAACACTGCTTATAACCCTTACTATTCAGAATTTTCCTTTGTGTGTTGACAGAAGAAAGGGGCAGAACTTCTTTCTGCGTAGGCGGCCTTCAAAAATTTAATTTTATATAAAAATATTGTTTTATATAAAAAATCGTCGCAGGCAAACATTTACAGTTGTGTATTTCACTGTCGGTGGATGCGTTTAAACCTAACTATATAATATTATTTATCAATTTAAAGGTATTTCTCTGTTCTTTCTAACAAAAACATCAACTAATATAGTTAATTACGTATTTTTTTTTAGAAAAACGTACATTTTTATTAAAAAATTTTCATAATTTGGTTTTTTTTTTAGTTTCTCTAGAAATATGTATAAAAGATATATAAAGATATGCATATAAATAAGACAAATGTATGTCTATCAATAAATTTTTCAACCATATCCACATTTTGAAAATCAGTGCAATAGTTTTGGAAATGTAAGCTTTTGAAAATATTGAAAATTCCACCTCTATCTCCGCATATTAATAATATGCACCAAAAAAAAAATTACACCTTTCAAATCAGTAGAAGGGAGCGGACCACGCCCACTTTTAATTTTTGTTTTATTTCAACGATTTCTCGAAGACATTGAATTGGACAGTGAATTGGCCAATTTGAGAATAAGAGGGAAGACAAAATGGCAAAAAATCGCAGTATTATGAAAAAGGTTCATGTTTGAATATTATAAGAAAATAAAATAAATAACATGAAATCCGCGCAAAACGATTCTAACGGCGGTTGCTGAAAAGTGTATTGTCCTTTTAATTGTCTGGACGCCTACTTTACACAACAATTTGACAACTAATACATATTCTCAATTGTATTGTCTCAAATTGTCTTATGTAAACGCAGCGTTAAAGCAACCCTCTTGCTTTGCCACAACACGTGTAAGTAGTTTTGAACGTAAAATTTGTTGCTTGAGTTTATATTAATAATAATAGTTATTTTAAATAATATATATTTTGAAAAAATTTGGATGGACTTTCATAAAGTCGTCCATTATGCTTTTCTTATGCTGGTAAATTTTAATTAGGTGTGCTAAGATTTAACAAAATTTCGATATTTCAATATAACATACATATTATTTCTACAAATTTAAATTTTACGTAAAATTTTCTGTTTCGTACTTTTTAATTTGCGTGTATTAACGGCTGTGTGCAATCGAATTAAAATGATTGACGATTACAATATTTGGAGTACGTTCACGGATAGCATAATACCAAATTACGATAGCAGGAATACGATCACGTATCGTGTGATATCGAATCAGCGTTTTTAAGAATCGAGTAATCAGTTCACGGAACACATAATTCGAGCCCAGATTAAAACAATGAATATAAAAACTAAATAAAAACAATTAATATGTCGATAACTCCATCAAAATATTTTATTATTATCATCATTGTTATTAAGGGCCATAAATACCGCTATCTCTAGCGTGGATCTACTCTGCGTAGCCGTCCGCCCTATAAGCGAAAGCTTTTAATATAGCATAGGAACTCCAATGGATTTTTTTTCCAAATTCCAAATGATTTAATTGTAGCACCACCTACATATGTAAATGAGCTAATCTGTGCCTTGCGAGAGCGCCACATAGAATGTATTCTGATGTGTTTCTGAAAGATTAATTTTATTGAGGTATTTTGAGCTTTCCTCTTCCTTACTTAAAGAGTTACTCTAAAGCTTCGATTCAAGGACAAATAAATCGCTTGGCTAACCTCTGTCATTGAGATTCCATTCAATGCCTGTTGAACATTTTGTTTACCTTTATATGTGCTTCGGTGAGCCCACGTAAGGGTTCCGAAACGTAATATATTGTTGTAGCTCCAGGTTTTGCTAGATAGTCTTCCTCCTCTCTTCTTCTTCGGTGCCCACCCTAGATGACTAGGTTAGGTTGGGTTAAGTTGTCATAGTTGTCTATGAGAAACACTTAGGCTCAGGGCCTATTGTGATGCCGCATATGGGGTCAGCAACTGCCAATCTCTCTTGAAACCATTTTGAATTGCGTAGGAATTTAAGAAGATCTCTGATTTCCACGCATCTAAGGTCCTCCAAGTGGTACTAAAAGTGAAGGGTCTTCGGCTGGATAGAGCAGGGACTGGCACAACAACATCTTGACAGCCTCTACAGAAGTCATGTAAACGTAGGCCAAGTTGATAGGCATGCTTGCCAATTAGGCAATAATCTAATGTTTAGGCTCAGTAGTAGGAACTGTGCGTTTGCGCTGAACGCCGGCCGCAATTGCTTAGCAGTTTTGCAGATTTCGTCATGCTATCTGTCGTTCGCTACTTTAGTAAGTCTCTCGGCGATAAGTAGCTTACCATTTTGTGAGGGTATTCCTATTTCGTCGTTTATATCCTCAAAAGGAAGTTTTTTGCCAAGTTGCACGACTTCAGCGGCCTTACCCCCATATCACCTTTGGGCGAAATGAAAGAGATGTGCGGCATTTCATGGCTACCATATCGATTGCTTCCTGAGGGATTTTATTAACGCCTGGCTGTCAGTGAATATATAGATATCTATATCGATAAAAAAAACTTACTCTGTCAATAAGTATGCCTGTAAAACGATAATAAACACGCTATTATATAGATATTGATATATATGTCGAAAATAGTAATATTATCGATAATCAAATAAAATTATAACTCTAAATATGGAGGCCCAAGAAAAACGGTAGCAATACCGAAAACACTAGATATATCCATTGCAATGAAACTACCGATATGTAAAGGAAATTGGAGTTGATATTACTAACGATAACATTTTGAAAAATATATAACTATTATTAACACTATGAGAACGTTTTAAAGCAGCCCGATTGATTTAAATTATATGTCCACTTTTACAATAGCCAAAAAGTTATGTCCGATTTTCAACCAGCAAAAAAGTTTTTCGACGACCAAAACTTTATATCGAGGGTTTTGATGGCCAAAAATTTATGTTTAATTTTTACATTGAAAAAACTCAGCTTTTCAGATAAACAAAAACTTACTTTAATTTTTTTGGGTGTCCATAAATTAATGTCCATTTATCAAATGAGCAAAAATTGATTCACATTTTTTAAGCGTCCAAAAATTTATGTCCGTTCATCAAATGGCCAAAAATTTATGCAGTTTTTATTTTCCAGGATTGATGTTAACCGGCTACTAAACTTTTTACTTTCTTTGTCGTTACAGGAAAACCCTGGTCTCATAGTACCATGGATAATTGGTTACATCACTTTCATGGCATTGGAGGCAGTGGCCATGGTCTACTCCAATGTTTTGCGAGATCATGTAAATAAGGTCAGTAAGTCGCTAATAAATACATAGCAAATAGCATCCGTTTGATACGATTTTACCAACAACACAATTTAATGCATACTGCTACCCGCTCCCTTTTAGTTTATTCAGTTATTCATTTCACTTTCATTGACCAACTGCAACGAGGACGCCGAAAAGGGACTGACTTGCAAACGGAATATAATAACTTCAGATAACAATTTATTACTAACAAGCGCTGAAAAAAAAATCACTTCGTAAAAATTTACATAATAATAAAAGTGGAATTGCGCCTCAGAGGGGGAGAGGAAAAAAATTTATGCGAATCAAGAAATTGCATAAATTTCTTTCTTCAACCACTATGTTGTATATCTAGTTATGTACAAATGTAGTACAAAATTTTTTGTCGTAGAAACGCTTGGCAAAGGAGCGACGAATAGCTGCTTGCACTTGCTTTTGCTGATTATCGCACTTTCTGTTTGAATTTGCTTGTAATTTCTCGTTTATTTGTTTCTATGATTCACTTTTGGACTCAATGCCCTAACACTGCATTCGCATTGCAACGCTATTCTCGATTTCATTTGCAATTTTTTTTTGCAGGATTTTTTTATTCATGGTCTGATTTTTAATGTAGCGAATTACAAACTCAAAGTGCGAAGTTTGTTTTTTATTTTTTTACAAAAGATGCAAATCAGAAAGCATTTGAAATTGTAAAATTTAATAGCCAAAGTTTTCGTACAAAGTGTGTACACACTAAAAAGAAAACGGAACTGAATCATAAAAGGCCGAGTCAAAATTTAATAAAAATGATAAGTAGAAACTTTCCACTTCCTAAGCTATTTTCAGCCATTTAAGCACTTCAACTACTCTTTGAATTTTGCAACCTTTGGTTTATTGCGTGTTTCGAACTTTTAAATGGCGTTACAGACAGTGACTCAAACAAATGACAACGTGTTGATTTTCTTCAAATATTCGAAATGTTTTTCGAGCTAAGTTTTGTTGTTATTTTTATATAAAAATATCGTATAAGCTTCAAACAAAACCGTGTAAATCACAGTTTCAAACTTTATACAAAATTTATAAGAATTCAAGAAATTTTCATCAAAATTTCAACTTTTTATTCTGAATTTTTAGAAAATTTTTGGGTATTAAGTGCAAGTTTAAAACAGCTAAGAAATCACGTTGATTATTGAGCATTTTTTATTTTGTGACGGATGTTTGCGCTTATTTTCATATATGTACGTATAAATTTCTTATGAAATAAAACGCGGGAGACCGTCAGCAACAAAATTTCAAAATATCATCGAAAGTTTTTGTAAATGGCGCCTGTTATATTAAGAAACAAGAAAATGTAGCCTAAATTTTGATGAAAATTTGTTGAATTTTCCAAAATTTCGTATAAAATTTGTATAAAAATAACAAAAAATTTAGCTCGAAAAACATTACGAATATTTGAAGAAAATCAACAAGTGGTCATTTGTTTGAGATTATATAAAAATAACAAAAAAAAAAATTAGCTGGATAAATATTACGAATATTTTAAAAACATCGCGTGGTATTTGATGGATTCACTGAAGGTATTCTGCAAATATATGGTGATCTGCATGTACGAGCATCTGGTGGTTTGTGTATGTATCTGTATACGTATTAAATTTGTGATAATAAAAGTCCAGACATAATAAAAACTTAAAAATCTTTAAACGTACTTTTTTCCAAAAATAATTTAAGCATACTCGTTTGCAAATCCTCTTTTTTGTGTAAGTGAAAATTTTATAATACAAGTTTAGGTTTGCTTAAGTTTGGTGCATCTTAGGTGGAAGCCTATGAAAACTTAGAGTCACCTAAATTACCCGAGCTAGGGAAGATGCTTGCCTCTCTAATTTCGTAATTAAAGAAATTTTTTCTTTTGAAACATTTTTTGATACAAAAAAAATCAGTGGGTTTCGTAGTTAAAAGCACAATATTTTGATATAAGTTTTATGCTGTATACCTTTGCAATATCCATATATTAGGGTCACCCTTGAGCGACAGCAATTCGTTTAAAATACGTTCCATTTTATGCAAATGTATGCCTGTATACATAAGTGGAATGTTTCAGTAAAATAAAGCCAGAGAAAATACTACTTTAATTATATTATGACATAAAGCAAGCGCGCGTTATTTACTTTTCTTTGGGAAATAACGCTATTATTGCTCTTTCGCAAAGAAAATAAAGTCCATGGGCGCTATTTCCCCTTCGAAATGGAAATAACGCACATGGGCTTTATTTCTGTTTTTTGGCATATACATCCCATGGGCATTATTTCCCCGGGCCTTCTTGCACTCCACCCTCGAAAACGTCCTCGGGTATAGTCCTTATAATTTTATTAGCTTAAAAAACTAAACTTATTAGCTTAAAAAAATAAAATTGATTCGTCCTTGTGAACCTAAAACATTTTAATTTTTTTTAATCCTACAGAACTTTCTCTTTCACTTGGTACCCATTTTTATTCTACACACAGAATTTTTAAAATAATTTTTAGAATTTATCATATCTTTAAATTTATAAAGTTCTAGTAAAAAAAATTCTAAAACTAAACACACAGTTTTACTATATTTGGACCATAGTGTCGTGAGTATATTGTTTGCTTGGTGTGTTTTTATTTCCACCTGTTTCAATCGTTTTACTCAGAAATATTAGAAAAATTCTAAGTACGGAAGTTTTTAAGTATAGCCCATAAAATAACAGGAGGATAAACTGCAAGTTTTAAGTGACTAAAAGTAACCTTGATTTTTTATAATTTTTTTTGCTGGCGGTGTCACGCATTTTCCTCCATACAATGTATGTTCCACAATTTGTTTATATGGAAGAAAATCAACGGTATTTTCTAACTGCATGAAACTTGCATTTTATCCTAATTTAATTAAATGTGCTATAAAACTGCGTACCTCGAATTTTTCTAAAAATGCTGATTAAAAAGGCTTAGGTTTACGCAAATTTTTTTTTGCATTTGTATAATTCTTGTACAAATTATGAAATGCGCATTTAAATGCAGTTGATTAGATATATTTTAAATTAGGTAGACTTTTACAAAAAAAATCTAAATATTAAATAAACAAAAGAAATATTGACTGAACTAGTTAAAATAAGGCGTTTCTTTTATTTCTGCCACTAGTATTATGAACTTCTTTCAGCAACACAATACATACATATGTTGACTTAATTTTTTTTTCCATAGAGCTTTTTTCTCGATGGCTTAAGTTACTTCATCACATATGTACACACTAAAGTATTGTTAAATGCGTATAAATTTAAACGCAGTCTTTTGTTTTGTTATTAATAAAATATTTTTCAACTTAAATAATAAAGTAGTTTTCAAACCCATTTATTCATTATTTATTATATGATATGGTACAGCTTCTCAAACTATATTGATGCAATTTTTTCATGTTAAATTGTTGGAAAATAATAAATATCTAAATCCCGGGATTAATCCCGGAATATAAAAAGTTAATATCCCTAGTACGTGCATATTTTTGTATAAATTAAATATTGTGCTATGAAATAAACGGAATTTATCATAAGCTTATAACTAATCTGTGCATTACTTCGTTGAAAGGGATCGGCTTAGTTAATATATGGTTCGTAGTTGGGCTTTTAAAGTGAATTCTTTATTTCTCATTTGTCGCGTTAAAGTTTTGTAAATCCCGTATTTTTGGGACAAATTATGCATTTGTCCCGTATGGCTGGAAAAAAAATCTGGCAACATTAATTGAGATTCGTGCACATAACTTCAGGCGCAATCACTACGCACACACTTTTATATACATGCATGAAGCTGCACTCGATTTTAGCTGCACATTTTATTTTTGTGACGACGTCATAAGAAGTAAAGAAGCAAATAAAAAATATTTCCCACGCGCATACATTTCATCAACTTTCGGTACATATTTTCCATACAATCCGCTTTACACGCTGCTTACCTCCATTTGTCATACATAACTTTTCTCCAAGAATGCATCTTGTTCTATCTGAGGTCGCTCGTTTACGCTTTTTTCGGCGTCAAATACACGTTTTCATATCTGTACAAAATCACAGGTTCCTGCTGCAGGCGTTCGTAGTTTTATTTTTGTAGTTTTTTTTCGTATGTCACTTTCGCAATGTAGCCGTGGGAGTTACCTTTGTGGTAGCCACTGTGGTGTTGTTGTGGCATATAGAACTGCCATTCGACCCCTTCAGGGTGCACTCAGTCACCTCTGCCCCCAACCAAAATTGCCACACTCGTGTCGAACTGAGGCAAGTGCTTGGCCCTTTTACTTTTTCGAATTCCACTTTACCTTCCACCCACTCAGTCACCTGTAAAATTTAAACATTTTAACATGCAAACAGTTTTGCGAAAAGTCCACTAGTGCAGCAGCAATTCTCAGTCGTTGCAACAAATTGCACTGAGTGCATGGTATTATCAACTGTTATTTGTGTGGGCGTGTGTGTGTGGGGCGTTTCGCTATCGCTTTTGAACTTTTTGCATAACTCAGATTTTTCGCCTTTTTTTGTGCCTTGACTTCAATTTGTTGTTATGCAGAGTTTTATTGCAGTTCTTGTTTTCTCTTAAGTTTTAATACAGTTGTATGCAGAATTGGTTGGCAATGTTGGGTAAGAGTAAAAAAATAAATAGATATCCATAGGTGAGAGCGGAACTCGTGCTAAGTGCTTTCCTCGGAACAAAGTGTAGAGGCTAAATAAAAGCTATGGGAAAAAGTGAATACTAAAATATTTTTGGCTTAGCTTTTTATTATTTGTGTTATTATGCGAACAGAAACCTACTTGATTTTACTTCATTAGTACTTCACCTCTTGTTACTACATACATACATATGTATATGGGGCGCTCCATACCAAACGTGTATGATTTGTTTAAAATTTGTAGGGTTGATGGATAAACTTAAATAGTAAATAAATACGAAATTTGAGCTTCATTAATAAATTTATTCTAAACTTACAGCACAAAAACAAAGACAAATCGATTTAATAGTTTTCAAAATATCTCGAGAAATATCGAGAAATCACACATACACACATCAAAATTATCTATGAAAAGAAATATTTAAAAAAAAATGTCCTGAAAAATTTTTCACATACAAATTTTTTGATACAAAAAAAATGGTTTTTGAAAATAAGCCTACTAAAAAAAATTTAAACAAAAAAATTGCAATGGTAGCTCTGAGTATTACGAAATATTTAAATAAGTATTCCGGGGTGCACTCTGCAATAATTCGAGTTATAATTTTATTTTACACCGAAGTTGAATAAAATGAGAACATTACAAATTTAAAAATTTTTTTAGATTTTTTTTTTGAGTGTGCAGTTTTGTAGCCCATTTAATTTTAGCATAATAAATTGCAAGTCTTAAGCGATTACAGAACTGACGTTAATGTTTAATTAACGGTTTTGCGCATTTTCTTCCATAAGAAAAAAGTGCAAAAAGCCGTCAGCATAAAAATATTAAAAATCAATGCAATTTTGCAGTAGCTTGAAACTTGCACCTTATAATATTTAAATTTAATGGGCTACAAAACAAAAATTGTTTGTTTGTTTGTAATTTGTGTGTTACGCATTTTACTCAACTTCGGTGTAAAAGAAATCATAACTCAGATTATTGTAGCCTGCAACCCGTAATACTATACTTAAATAGTGTGAGCTACCATTGTGATTTTTTTCAATTTTTTTATAAAAAAAATTTGTTTGTGAAAAATTTTTCAAAAAAGAAAACAAATTTTTTAATATTTCTTTTCATAGAGATGTTTGCTGAGTGTATGTGTAATTTTTTCAAATTTTTTCTCGCCCCGTTCTCGAGATATTTAGAAAAGTATTAAATCGATTTGTTTTTATTTTGTGCTGTAAAGTTTTTAAAAATGTATTAATCAAGCTCAAATTTCTTATTTATTTATAATATATGTTTATCCATCAACCATAAAAATTTTAAACAAATCAAAAACATGAAGTGTGAACCCCGTTTATTTTGGTCTTCATATATCCAATCCATTATCTAAATATAAATTTAAGAATGATAATGCTGTTTATAAATTTATTTCCAGCAATTCGATTCTATGTGTAAAGCAGAGGTGGCCTTCTTCATAGCCCGTGCAGTCATTAATGTGAGTACTGATGTGAACGATGCATATTTATAATTAATCCTATATGTAGCAAGTATACTAGCCAATGGAGCGACCTATATAATTTATTGTCCTTACCCTTAGAAAATGCGTCCAAACTTAGGCTAGATATTGCATTTTTTCAACTGAAAATGCATACCGCACACTCGAAAGAAGATATCAGTAATATTGTTCTTCTTAAATGAAGCTAGAGGACCTCTGTCTTCGCTAAGTCAAATAGGTCTTCAAACCTTAATTATTATTGCTAAATTTTTTGGACCTATATATTAGGTATGAATTGAGTAGCTCCACTCACTGCTATACCCCCTACTCAGTTTGATTAACCAAAGAAAAATCGGCATATTCATTCCTACAATATTTGGTAAGAAACATCGAAAGAGTTACAGAGCCTAAAGAAGTGCCTTCTTTAACATCTACGAGACTTTCAATAATACCGCCAACGGATCCCGTTGCTTGGATCGAAACCATGTGCCAGGAGCGCGATATTATATCATGCTTGGCCACAATTTCGTGAACATTCCTTTCGAACTTCCTTCGAACCCTTCTGGTGTACTATCTATCCAATGAAGTTCTCAGTCTAAGCCCACGTACGAAAACCTGATCTTGTACGATGGACATGAAGTTATTAAGTTATTACGAATAATAATTTTTTATAAGCAGGAGGCTGGAACAAAAGGTATGACAGAAACTAAATGTCGTTTTCGTTATTTTGCTCCCAAGAACGCTTCAAAACCAAAGCAAAAATGAGAACAAAACTGTCGAGAACATTCTCAATTGGAATTATGTAAGAACGAAACCCTGTGGAACGTTCCCAAAGAGAACAAAATGCGAACCATACTTTCGGGAACTTTTTTAAGAGAACAAAATGGGAACAAAGACCTTCGGAACGTTTTGTGAAGGAACAGAATGGGAACAGAAGTCTAAGGAACTTTTTCTCGAATAACAATTTATAAATTAAAGCCCTAGTAACTGTCTGACAGAGAACGAAACAGGAACAAATCTTCTCTAAACTATACGCGAAAAATGGAAGCGCTAACAAAACGTTTCACATAGCGTTCATTAGTTTGAAATATTTTAATACTAAAATTAATCAAATGAAGCACTGAAAAATATCCACGCGAATCAATTCAACGAATGACTTAAGGCACGAACTTTGCTTGCACAGAAAACGAAAACTTGTTTCTAAAATGGACAGTTCACCGTTCTTGACATTACATTTTGTTCTTGTGCGGAACTAAACCAAAATTGGAACGCATTCTCGGTCCCCATTTTGTGTGCAACAATACACTCAATAACTACTTTTATCTCTAACCAAAAAAAATATAAAAGTCATTACATAATCACTAATAGTGATCGAAGAACCAGGAACCGAAAATAAACGTCATTATGAAGAATTTTTATTTTGAAATCATTACTAAATCGTTATTATATCATTTTTGTTTTTTAGATAATTTTTAATTGTTATTATGCGATTTTTATTTTATCGGTGAAAAATAATCATTACTCAATGTTTTTTTTCTTTCATTTTTGATAAAAATATTCGTTATAATTGGATTTTTATTTTTCCGATCATTTTTGCAGATACTGAAAAAAAAATCTCTAGAAAAATCAAAAAGTAAAATCAAAAAGTAAAATATCGAGAAGTCTTGAAAAAACGTTGCAAATAATTAGTGATTTCACCTTCCTTAATGCCTAAAATCAAGTACGGTAATCATTATAAGAAAAATAATTTGAAACAACAATTAATCATTATTTAGTAATTTAAATTTTTTTTCTCAAAAGTAATAATTATTATGCAGTTTTTTTTCTCAACAGAAATTATTATAATTTTATTTTTAGTTTTTTGCATGGACCGTATCCGTTATGATTTTTATAATAAAAATCATAATTTAATAGTTATTTTATGGTTTTTATTTTTATTTTTTGATCAGATTTATTTTCAGATTTATTTTTTAAATCATAAAAGGTTTAATTCGGTAATAAAAACGCAGTCTCTATTTATGATAGTTTAAAATATAATTTAAGAAATATGATAAATATCCTTTACAAATTTTGTCCTTAAAGATCCTTGAAAATGTGCAATATATATAAATTTTTTTTTAGTTATTGTTTGCGGAATAATATACGCATGACCTCGTCATCGAATTTCGTTCTGCAAATTTTATTAAGTGAAAAAGATAAAATTTATTAAAAGTGGATTTCAATTAAACCAAAAAACTTTATTGCTTTTAAATTCAACATAATTTTCTCTCTCATTTGGTACACATACTGTTATTCTACATTGCACAGAAATTTTAAGATATTTTTTGAATTAATCTTATCTTTAAAATTTCAAAGTCTTTTGTTCTTGCCTCATGAATTATTATTATTATTGACTCTGTTTTAAAAATATTCTTCTAATTGGTTTGATTTTATTCGGCTATGTAGAAAAATTACCTACTCTGACTTAAAAGAAGTTACTTTGCATTTTATGTTAGTGTAGTTAAATATGTTCACCTGTTTAAAAAATGTGTGGTTGAGGATATTGCGATTGCTGCTATTTTTTTGATTTACAATTAATTTTATGAGTTTCCACTACTATTTAAGTACATAGGTAGATATTTCCGGTTGTCATTAATGGTAATTTTTTGCCTTACCCTTTTATGCGTTCATTTCCTTATGGGCCATTAAGCGCCACTTGCTGCTGAAACAAAAACAAAAGCAAACCAAAAGTGAACAACAGCACTGCTTGTAAAATTTTTTAATTTTATTTTAAATCTTTCTAACCACAATGCCTTGCAACGTTTCCTGTTTGGCCCATTATTGACGGTTTGTGGTTTTTATAGTCGACTGCATGCACATTTGCTTTCTTCTCTCTTTCCCCCATATCCCTTTTCCCCCAATTCAAAGCACTTTTGGGTTCTTTTCGTCAGCACGCGTTGTGTAGAATACACAATTGTAAGTGTTTAAATTTGATTGTAACTGTGTTGCTATTTGTATTTAGTAGTACAAATGTTGCAACAAACTAAAAAAAACCAGTAGACAAGGCACCCCCAATGAGGTCAAGTGTTAGTTGCTGACACTTAACTGTACACAAGCGCATGCACATTTTAACATGACTGCCAGAAAACTAAGGCACATTTGTAGCAATAGGATTAGGTTGCATTCGTGTATTCGTAGTTAGTTTGGCAAATGAAGGACTAACTTTTTCGACACCTTTCAACTGTGATTTTATAAATTCTCCAATTTCTGTAGCTGCAAAAGTATCTTGTGCCCAACTAGAATTTAAAAGTATATTATAAGCTAAGTATGTATGTATTTTCAAGTGCTACATGCAGTTTAATAGCCATTGTTAATAAAAATGCCCATTTTGTTTTAAATGGTTAAACTCATTTACGAAGCATGGAGAAGGAAATGAAAATGCTTTACAAATTGTTTCAAGTTGCTGAGGGTAGGCATAATAAATTCTTACGGCTTTGGGAAGGCTCAAAAAGAATTGGAATTTTCAAATAATAATAATAAGTTTTAAAATAATAATTTTTTTATGACGAGATCTTTTATTTTGTAAGAGTCAACAATTTTTTTGTAAATTTTTTACCAAACCTTGTGATGAGATGTACTTCGCAAGGTGTCAAAAATCGTATTTTTGCAAAAATTTATATCTTGTTGGAATTCCGATAGAGTACTTAGGTTAAAAAAAATTTTCGGACAGATTTTTATTTAAGGCGAAAAATCGCTGGAAATGTGCTTTACAATTTTGGGACTAAAGTTAAAAAAAAATACAGATGTTCTGCTGAAATCCACAATAAAATCTAAATTTGTGAATTTTGGTCACGCTCATTTCTACATAGAAGATTCTTTAATTAAAAAGTCTTCGGCACAAATAAAAAAAAAAATAGGTTTTCTTAACTCTAGTCCTAAACTTGCCGCGCCCATGAATCGAAAACTTGACATAATTTTATTATGAAATTCCTGCGACTTAAAAGGAATGCCTCATATATGGGCTTAAATAGGATGCGGTAATTGTTGATGATGAAATAAAAAATCTGGTATCATATTCACTACTTCACATTTTTTGTTGAAAATACAAACATTCATACTAACTTCTAAATACTATACACTTTCGATCCCATTTCGGCTGCATTTATTTCACGTTATATAATAAAAAACTATTGAACCCAAATGTTAGTCAGAGTTATAAGACATCCGAGTGCCATATTTCAACAAAATCGTGCAGCCGTTTCTGTGCAAAGAGCAGTATCGCATAGTGCATGTTCCTATTTTCATCAAATCCCCCTATACCCGAAAAAAACCATGGTCTTCTTAGATCTCTTTCTTCTGATACTGTGATACTCATGTTCGATCAAATGGCACCCCCCTAAATTAAGGTCAGGAATAAATCCCTTTCAAACCCATTTCGATTTATGGCCATCTTTTAACAATTCATCAAACTTACTGAACAATTTGAATGTAACTTTTTAAACACGTTCGAAATATTCAAACTAATGATTTCTTCACATAATTTCGATTGACTACGGTGTTTTTCTATTTCATATACTCTTTGAATTGGTTAATTAAAACAGGTGGCAGCCCACTTTAAAAGTATTTTCAAGCTTAATCATTGTTAACTCTTCTGTTATACATTTTCTAAATTACTGTTGAATTAAGTGGAATTTTGATTTTCACACATGTTTCAACCCCGCTAAATACAGTTCAGAAATAAAAAATTTTCAAAGTCCCTTCGATTGATACCCATATTTTAATTATTCTTTTAACTTATAAATTAATTTGAGTTTATCTTTTTAAAAAAGTGGCAACGCTTTTCCAACACATCAAAAATATTCTTAGCGTTCAAACTAAAGATTTCTTGACTTTCCTTCGTTGGACATCCATATTTAGATATTTCGTATAACTTGTGAATAAGTAAACTAAATTTGACATTTCAAACAGGTGGCAACCCTCTTCAAAATGTTCTCAAACTACTACTTTCTGAAACCTCTTTCGTTTGGCACCCATATGGTTATACATATTTTACC